GTATGGTTCTAGTCTATTTTACTATTACACTTTTAAAATCTGAATTTAAATTGTAACACCTGCATGGCACATAGTATATGAACATAAAAGAAACCTTCAAATATAAATGTTAATCAATTAACTTATTTTATAGATTTCTCAATAGAGAGATGAGCTCAATAGATATGATCAAGAGAGAGATGATCTCTCAGTAGAGAGATGTATATGTATTGGGGATCAAATGTGGGTCCATGTGCAATCCCTGGCCCAAGAATATTTTAATTTAAGGTAATACATTTTAGTTATATATTATCTTAGAATACCATACATATAGAAGAATGATATTAAATCTCACGCAATTGGGTACTTTCAATGCTATATCTAAGAATATTAAATTATTACACTAAGTAGGGGATAGTAAGTGTGAGAATTAAAAAGAACTGAAAAAAATGAGTAATTAGCATGCTATAACTTCTTAGATATAGAAGATATGCTAAGGATATTTGCAAATGTTAGCATCAGTTAAACGGGAGAAAATGATGGTCACGTTAGGAGAGAGGTTGTGTTGAGGGAGAAATAGGCAGAGAGAGAAAAGCAGGAGGAAGAGAAGGAGGAGGAAGACAGTAGGGAGAAATTTGAAGAGAGCACATTTTAGCTTTGGGGCAATATAAATTTTCTTTTATCATATATTTATTCATTAAATATGAGTAATTCCAATATGCTAGGAAGCTTTAATCTAAGTCCTAGAAATATAATTATGATCATGTGAATATCTTCCACACTCATTATATTTATGTTCTAAAAGTTGCATTTAGTTGAATATAAGGATACAAATAAGGAATTATTACTTGTCCTGTATAGAGGACTTGTTAGAGAGTGACAGAAGATATCAGACTATAGGAGGGAGCATGGATGAGAAAACAGAAAGGACACAAAATATTATGAAAACTCTACTCTTAGATTGAATATTAGGTAAAATGTTGAACAAGATAATGAAGACAGTCATTAATGCATAGTGTTCACTTGCACTTCTATGTATTATTGTAGCTGTTGACATTTAATTATTTGTATTTTCCTGTAGAATGAAGAAAAACCTTTGAAACAGAAGAAAAAGATAGGATGCTTTGTTAAAGATGCTAAAAGAAAAGGGAAGGAGATTTGTTTGACAACATATAAGGCATCCAAACTCTGTGGGAGTTAGTACAGATGGGAAGAATTAGATTCAGCGAAAGGGAGGTAATATTTTCTTTGCCCTGTAAATTTTTATGTTCCCTAAAAGTTAGGGGGGAAAATCATTTGTAAAAAAGGGAGTGAAGTATGAGATTAAGTCTCGGGAGAGGTGGGAATGATAAGGACGGACTGCTGCAGAATAGCCTAAGCTCTGTAACAGTAGCTGAACAGCAAGGACCAACTTTATTGTAGCTGGCACATGTTATAATAGATTTTCTCAGCAAAGCCTTTCTCTGATTCCGTAGTCGTTTCATGTCATGACACATAGGACAGCAAAGAGAAAAGAAAAATAGGAATTGGAAGTGGAAACAGAGTTGGCAGACAAAGCAGGAATTTTATCTCTTGAGGAAATTTTGTTAAAACTTGGATCTCATTTTTTCAGAGCAGTAAAAAGGAGGTTAAAGGTGGACATGTGAATTCCATAAATTCTCTTTTGGTGTTCCTTAACCTAGTCTGAAATCATTATCTGCTACAAAAGAGAGAGAATAGTGAGATTCAATAATGGGCTTGTGAAAAAAAATAGAGATGGATATCCCACCAATGGAACAATTGCTTCTGGATCTGCCAAGTAAATGTACCTATTCTGAGGAAGAAAACAAAAGGTAAGAGTTTAAACCAGCTGTGACTTTGAAGGCATTTGGTTTGCAATCTCTCATTCTTCTGTTACATGTCTGACTCATGGTTTGATGGATATAATCTTTATAAAGAAGCCATGCTTTTTATCTTGCTGACACACTTTGCACAATTATTGAAGTAGAGACCTAATATCTAAATTTAAAACAAAATCCTCTACAATTTATAAACTGTCTTATCCTGTGGTCATGGCAAAGCTTTTACAATGTAATCAAGAAAAGAATCAACAAACTCAATCTCACAAACTAAATTAAAAGGGACACATTCACATTTGCCCTTTATATCCATGTCAAAGATAGAGAGACTGGAAGGAATTTAAACAGCATGGTATCATATCTATCACAAGCCATATCCTCCCCATGGTAGGAAGGTTATTTTTCAAGGCTACCAGTCCATTAACCTTCACAAGCACAACAATAAAGCAAAACAAAACAACATTCCCAATAGAAATGGTATTGCTTCTAATCCTGTTTATATATTTCACCCTGGGGATCTGCAGATAGAACAAAGACCTGTGTCTCCCCAGGCACACAATATGATACAGACATACAACAAATGCCTGTTGGTACACACTGTAGACCAAATTGTGCTTTTTTAAAAAAATAGGGTTGGGGTTAAGGAAAGTAACTGAGCTCATCCCTGCTGAATCTGTTTTATGCTATGATTTGTAATAGGGAAGGCCAAAGCATCAACCCCATTTATTTTCTGAGGTCTTGGCCTGATCTTGGTTGACACTTTACTTATATATGTTCACTATATATATTTCATATATTCAGAATTATTAGTTTCATGATAAATGCATTGTCAGTAAGCCAGAGGAAAATAATAAGGTAGGAAATAAAGAGTCTTTGCTTGTTTTTATATGTTTCTGTTTGATTTAAGAGATAATTGTAATACAGACTGATGCTCCTATCTTAAGCTAAGTAGTGAATCAATTTAAAATACTATATAGGATTTGTGAAAGCCATTAACAACATCATTATAATTTCTTAAAATTCTTGTGTTTACTGTATTTGAGAAGCCATAATAATGTGACATACAGTAACAGCGTTACTCTTCTTTTTGGGGGGGTTGGGGGACTGAACTTGGGTCCTTGCAAGTGCAGGCAGCAGAGCCACTGAGCTAAATCCCCAGCCCTCATTTTTTTCCTCATGTAGAGTTAAACCTAAGTTATGCATGTTTATTATCATTAGATATAAAGTCAAAATATCATTAACTGAAGCAAAGCGGAGACATATTCCAGTTAGTCCAAGATGCAGGTTCTAGTGGGAAAAATGACAGATTCATTAAGCAGGATTAGAATAGCAGGGCACATTGTTTACAGGCCACAGCTCTCCCACAAATAATAATTATTAATCAGCATGAGATGATGTGAAAGAATAAGGTTTTCATCCATCATAGAGAGCAGAAGCATACAAAGAACAAAATGAATTTGGAAACAGAAAGAGATATATTTGAAAATTCAATCTGACAGGGATTATACTCAGAATATGTATGCAAAGACATGGCAGGAACAAGGAGCACTAGTAAAGAGGGTGCTAGCGCAGGCAGTGGAGACCCCTCTTATGCCACTGGAATATGGGGATGATGAAGGTGGACTTGAGAAAGTGATTTTAGGAAACTGCTCTGCATATTTGAAAAATTAACCCATGTTGGTGTGTTTCTATTCTACTCTGCAAAAGTGGACAGGACTGCTTACCAGGATAAAATAGTTGAATATAGTAACAGACAGTAGGTTGTACTGGCACATACTTACTGAATATTAGCCTTCGCTGACACTTATTGTGTGTTGTTGACAGGTGAACTGACCTTCTTAAGTCAGCCAAGGGAGAGAAACAAACTGTAGTGAGCTTTTGGATTGTTATTTTGCTATTAGAAAACCTCTTCCTGCTGATAGGAGAATTTAGTCATCTCTGCACTGTCTGCCTACAGCAGCATTCAGTACACATTTGGATATTCTCATCGAAAAGGGCAATTGCCACTGGTGATTGGAAGGGTTTCCTTCCTTCACTTCAGGTAAGTGTCCATCAGAAACTTAGTTAACACTCAATCTTGACAGCCAGTTTGCAGGTGAACACATCTGGAAACGTACACACAAATCTGGAGTTCTAATTCAAGCATTCTCTGATCGCGCTTTCTCTCCGTCTCATTCCCTCCCTTACCTTTTTGGCTCCAAAGTATGTTTACATTATATTTCTATAATACAATAGTGTCATTGAAGTGAAGTGCTTGGAATGCATTCATACTTATGGTATCTGTAGCAACTGCGAGCAACAAACATCTATCAATTTAACAATGCAAAGGCTATATTGACTGTAAAAGAAATCTGCATTGCATATTCATTTTAGTTATCAATAATGAAAAATGACTTTGTGATAAAATAATATAATTTACTAACAATGAATAAAAGTTGTGAATAAGATAAAGAAATATGAGACAAGTTTATGTTTTTAAAATTTTTCTATCTTATGTTACATAATCTTCTTTACAAACTGCCAATGTAGCTTTTTTCTTTTCATTGGTAAAAAATTGTCCGTAGAAATGCGGTCGATAAAATTACCCAACATTAAGGAATACTTTCAGTTTATGTATTCTAATTTTTCCAACAAGGCCTTTTTAACTATGATTCTTCATAATTCCATATTTTTAATTTACTAGCACCAAACTTACCTATTAAGTGAACAGTTTATTTTCTTATTTTTAACAAGCAGAACTAACATTGAGGGCTATAATTTAGTGTTTCTACAGAACATAAAATAAATATATAAAAATAAAATTGTCAATAATATAAAATACTTATCGATTTGAATGCCCCACATAGCCTTTTGAAATCTCAGGTTCACTGCATAAATTCCTCAGCATTTAGAAATGTTCCAAGTATCCTGACAACTACTGCCTCAGAACCTCAAGGTTTAGAGATTCTGATATTGCAAGCAATGATTCTAAAGTAGGTTTAAAATTGCCTAACAAGTAGTATTCTCATTTGAAGAAATACACCCAATTATTGAATGTACTACAGCTGTTTCAACACGATAGAAGAGAAAATACGTCGTTTTTTTCTTCCACCGCATGGTTTTTGTTTTTTCCCCCATTCTCTTTGCCAAAAGCATTACTTGGTTTTATGTGAGAGGAGTCAGAGGCATCCAGCATGTACTCACCAGCCTGATTAGTTGTGATGCTGACTGCAGCAAACTGTCTTGGTGGGGAGCTCAGCTCTGACACCCCGTTAAGGGCATCAATCTCAAAGGTGTAGTTCGTGTGTGCCAGGAGATCTGTCACTGTCACTGTAGTGTTGGTGAGTCCGAACTGTCGAGGGAGGAAGCGGACATGTGGGCTGCAGGGCTCACACTGCTGTACATCCCACCCACATTTTTTACATATGATGTTGAAGGTAATGTCTTTCCGGCCTCCTGTGTCTAGGGGCCAGCTCCAGTCCAGGATAACCGAGGTCTCGTTTATATTAGAGATAACATTTCTTGGTGCGGATGGAGGTCCTGCAAAGTAGTTCAACAAAGATTAATGGGCCTCACTTCTGTGTTCTACTAGAAGAGAAATAGATAATTTACAGTGGAACTGAAAGAGGTAAATAACCATCCTGCCTTTGTTACCTACTTTCAACTCATCCTTAGAGGATCCTTGAGATTATAGACACATAGATTCAAGAGCACTGTCATCCCCAAGGTAGGTATGGGGGAGTTTTCACTCAGGATTGAGGACATATTCACAATGTCCTCATGCGATGGAATTTAGCACTAAATTCAATACCCTTGTGAATAGTTATGAAAACTGTAGTATTGCTTTTATAAATCTTAGTCTTTTTTCCCTGTGACCTATGACCAATAGATAGCAAGAGGGAATAGAAATGTAAAAACAAAAATCCCCTGCCTATAACCTCCCTTATCCTGTCAAATGTAATGCAAGATCCTAAAACAAGATAAAGAAAATGTCTTTTCTTTCTGGGGGTTATTCTGCAGGAAGTACTTTAAAAGCTAATTCATTCTGTGTGAGAAATGTTGTGTTTTGGGTGAGCCAAGCATGGAGAGTGAAGCAGAGAAGCTTTCAGTTTGCACATGGGCAATGGGAGGAAATGGGCAAATGCTTCAGACACAGTATAAACAAACAAACAAAGAAACAAACAAAAACCAAACAGCACAGTAAAAAGAAAAAGAAAACAAACATGGAGGCATGGGTTGCAGCAAAACTACTCACGGGTACAAGCCATGGATGGAGGGTCTTTGTCTGCTCGGAAGTAATTATTCTCACACCTGCAGTTCATTGAACCTTCTTCATGAGTAGAACTGTGAGGGGGACACTTAGTGCACTTCATGTTACCATCCGCTGCCTTGTAGAAGCCAGGCCGACAAGCTACAAACAAAACAGCTCTTTTAAAGTTCTATGATGATTTTGTGAATCTATCTTGAACACACACAAAACAGATTTCAGTATGTTAGAGCTTTAATTCATTATGAACAGAAATCAATTTTTTATCACTAGAATTTACAGAAGCAAATAATATGACCCAGGGTAGAATTTTTTCTACGTACAAACTTGAATTTGTACCAAATGTTAAGAGAAAAAAAAAAAACTACAAGATGTAGATTATTTTGGCTCTAGAGGATGATGAAATTTCCAGCTTGTGTTTTCACAGCTTTACTTGGCATTGGACTATTTGTGGAGAAAATAAAACAAAACCATGTCATCATACAGCCAGTCCCTTTCTAAAACATGAGGCAAAGTGTATACTTTCTGCACTGTGGTTCACAGTGTATTGCAACCTGACTTGTTTTCTAATTGCTGTCTTTGTGTACACTGTCCTACAAATTGTAAGCAACTGAAGGAAGAAATGTTGGCTTACTGTATATTTTAAGAGTCTTGATCATAATTGTTATGGGAAATGATATATTTTTTTACCTTTAAAGTGTTTTTTCTTCAATGAAAAAGATCTACAATAAAATTTGAAATATATTCACTTGTCTGTATCTGAAATACATAGGGAAGTACAGGTTGTTTTAAAATTGATATGGAGGGGGTGAATGGAGGGCAGAGGTAAGGGGAAAAAATGAGAATCAAGACTTGCCATGTAAAGGTACATGATCCCAACAATGAATGTAACTGTACTGTATCCCTAAATGCACCAATAAACTCAATAAAAAAAAATTGATATGCTTATCCAGTGTGGACAAAGTATCCAAAAGTGTACTTTGACTTAGTACAATTGTGTTACATAACTTCCATCTTGCATACGTATCTTACATCTTCGGCCTCTTTATCTGGCTTTCAATCTGTATATTAACTTTATAAGATATAAGAAATGAATGTGATGCTGGAATAGTAAAAGGAGTGTAGAGGGGAGGAAAGAGGGAAATTTAATTGTTTTATGTACAGGTAACAATCTCTTACAGTTAATGTAATAATTATGTGCTGCAAACTTGTACTGATAGAAGTAAAAAAAAAGGAAAGAAACACCAACAGACTCAACATATTTAAAGTGTATAATTTAATCAGTTTGGTCAAGTATATATGCTTACGGACCTATTACCATAAGGATAACAAATATTTCATCACCACATGAATTTGTTTATGTCCATTTCTAATATGTTTGTCCTTCAACATCTATTCATTGCCAACAATTAATTAGCCTTCTGTCACTGTACATTAGTTTGCATTTACCAGAATTTAATAGGAATGGAATTGTATGCTACATAATCTTTTATGCTTGGTTCCTTTCACTTATCCATAGTTTAATCGTTTCTATTGCTGAATAGTATTCCACTGTATAAATTATAATTTATCCATTCAACTGCTGTTGAACTTTGAGTTTTTTCCAGTTTGAGACTAAAAAATAAAGCTGCTCTGAAGAAACATACATTGTTTTCTTCTGTGGGTAAGTACCTCGGAGTAGAATGGATGATGGATCATATGTTAGTTGTACATCAGTTTTTCAGAAATTGTCAAAATGTTTTTGAAGTTAATTGTATCATTTTACATTCCTATCAACATATTACTAGCTTTCTAGTTGCTTCCCATCTTTGCTAACATTTGTTCTTTTCAATTTTTGCTATTCTAAGAAGTTTGGGTAGTATCCAGTGGTGGTTTTAATTTGAAGTTCTTTGATAACAAGTAAGGATATAAAACATCTTTACATATACTTTGTGGCTATTTGTGTGTCTTCTCTTGTAAAATGTTAAATCTTTTCACTGTCTTTATTATAGTATTCTGTATATGCTAAATGCAAGTAGTTTAATGTTTATGTTGAGAATATTTTCTTCAAGTGTGTAATTTGTGTTTCTGTCTTCTTTTTTGGTATCTTTCCAAGAAATGAAGTTTTAATTTTAATTAAAAAATGATACACTTATGTGATGAAAGTTTCTGAACTAATTGTGTTGTCTTCTAACTTTCTGGTCATATCTATATAGAATATGGTTTTTGTGTAAGCCAAATGAACTGGTTACCCAAGATAGATTTTTAGCTTACTAATTAATGTTCACCATTATTTTCATAGTTATGACTCAATTGTATTACTTTTATTTAGCTTGAGAAAATTTACAATGGTGTAGTAATTTCATCTGACTTATTTTCATAATACGTTTGGAACTGAAATCTCAATGAAAACTCCAATAAGAAGTCTCATGGCATTTCTTTAAGGAAGACATTCAATATTTAAATTTTAGGTTTCCTCCTGATCACATCTGGGAGTCGATAATTTTTAAGACTTAATTTCAAAGGGACACTGAGGTTTCATATTTCATAACACTTATTTGCAGAATGAAGACTGTCACTGAATCCTAGAATTATCTTTTGTCAACTTCACACTGTGAACAAAGTTTATTTGCATTCAGAAGAAAACTTGAAAGAATTTTAAATTTTAGGACCATTAAATACATTTCTTAAGGGCAATACACTATAGGAAAATACTTTCTTTCAGAAAGTTTCTCGAAATAATAGAGAAATACACCAAGAGAAACAGTATTAGTATAACATAAAAGGTTAGCACACATTAATCTGTCTTGTTATTTTCTACTTCTTACTAAGAAAGGTTCATTGAAAAGTATTTTGAAGAATTTTTGTACTATATTGAGATTTAATCATATAAATTCTACTGTCCTAATCAAATATTTATTAGGACTATAAATTTTTTAACATTGTAAGCACTGGTTAGAAACTTGTACTCATATCTCAGATTCTATTGCTTCAGGAGGAATGATATAAAGAGTATAAACAAATCATGCACTTAACTTCTGGCTTCAATTTAGTTCATCACTGAATGCCCTTAGATTTGGAAGTGAACACTGCTGAGTCTAAAAAATTAAGTTGTATTATTATTCCAATGTACTTTGCTGTTTTGTTTGCATGTGAGTTTATCTGTATATTTTTGTTTGAGGCTTTTATGGCTTAAATATTTGACATAAAGGTATTCAATAAACAATCATTTAAATGTTGATATTATAAATGGCTATATGATACTTTTAAGCAAAGACTAGACAAAGACATAATTACTTTTTGGCTACAGCAAAATTTATCTGCATTATTGATAGTAGCTTACATATGACAAACCTAGAAATTAACATGATTCAAACAAATAACTAGATTTTATCCAGTGACTAATACTAATAATAAGACTTTGTCCAAATGTGTCTCAACAATAACATTAGAGATAATAGAAATAGGTAGACACATATACAATTTAGTAAATCCTTGTCGAGTATCCACTATTGTTTATGCTCTTTGATAGCCATAAACATAAAAATATTTCTAATTTCAACCATATCAAAATATGCTGTGCAATTGAAAATTTCAGACATTTAAGAAACCACATTGACCATGCACTCCATTTTGTTTGGGTGGTTGGTCAAAGATCCATAGAAAGAATGTTATTTGACAGAGATCATGAAAATGTGGTAGGAATTGGCCAGTACGAATCTTAATTAAAAACATAATTGAATCGATATAAAATTATAAAATGTTATGTAGAGAAAGCAGCAAGCATTGTGAATTATGGAGCCAATATCAAAACCCTCTTCCCGAGTGTTAGTAGGATTTTAATTTTGTTTAAAATTGTACCTAGATAAGTGCTCCTTTATTCAGATTCTATTGCAATTATAGATCTCAAGATATTGGAGGCCAAATGTGGTGATGCACATTTGTAATCCTATCTAATTGGGAGCCTGATGAAAAGTGGTTGCAAGTTTGAGGCCAGTCTGGACAATTTAGCAAGACTTTAATCTCAAAATAAAATAAAAAAGAGGCCACAGGGCTGGGGCTTTAGCTCAGTGGTGCTGCCACCTGTCTCATAAGTGGAAGATCCTGAATTAAATCCCCTTTACAAAATAACAAAAACAAAAATAAAAAAGGCCACAGATGAATAGTTCAGTACTCTTACAAACACACACACACACACACACACACACACACACACACACACACTCACACACAGATTCTGCTTCTTTAACTGTGTTTAAAATTTTTTCAAGAGAGAATACTTTACATGAAAAACAAAATTCAGTTGCTAATATATTAAATAGTATTATAACCTTTAAGGAACTAAAATAATTGCAAAAATTCACATTGAACAGTGCCTGTGTTTTACCTCTGAGGACACTGAATTTCAGAAAGTTTAAGACCTATATGATTAGCTATGATTCTCATAGCCGAAAGTTTGCTGGTTTCCTTTTCCTACAACTTTATGCAAAATTTGAATGCAAAATAAATCCAAAATGCAATGATAAATACTAAATAATAGCTTAATTTTTGCATATATCATTAATGTTTCTGAAAGACACTTTTATGTACCCTCTTGTTATGTGTCAAACAAGAAGTGTTGCCTAATGACTAATATATTAAATGCTTAAATACCAGTGCAGCAATATTCAGAGATGGCAGTTTGGAGAGGAGTATGGGGCACAAAACCCGTCAGTGGATCCATCTGTGGAAGGATTCACAGAGGAACGGTCTACTAAGTGGGGCCCCCTTGAAGGAAGTGGGTGACTGAGGACGGGCCTTTGAAGATTGTCTCTTGTCCCTCTTTCTCTACTCTATTCCTTTCTCTCTGCTTTCAGGTAAACATGATGTCAGCGGGTTTTTTCCTGCCATTTCTCTATACCATGATGCTCTGCCACAGCCCAAACTCAGAAACAAAGGAGCCAACATGAACTGAAACCTCTGAAACCCTTAGCCAACATACAGCGATGCTATGGTTCATGAATGCTGCTGTTTGCAAGCAATTCAGTTCACAAACAAAAGCATTAGGCAAGAGCAATGACTATGTCATGACCCTATCTTCCTTGAATGTAAAACTAGTAATATAACAATCAGCACATTTCCCTCATCTAAGTGCTATTTTCCATGCTAGAAAAAGAATTGTATAT